ACTCATTTTTTTTAAATGTATGTATACACACATAAGGCCTGTCTACTGTAATAACAATGGGATAAATTTACCTGACCGTTTTCAAGAAGGGAAAACCTTGAATTTTAAAGAACTTAAAAGTAATTATGACACCTGTCTCTTATACACATCTAGATGTGTATAAGAGACAGACTGTAGACAAAGGTGGGTAATTGTTAATTTGTCTAGTTATTGCATACGGTAACTCTTCCAAAGATTGATTAATTATAGGCTTGGTCTTTCGTTCGTTTTGTCTCGTCTATCGACTTTCGTAATGAGAACGCTTAAACGTTTTTCTTAAGTTGTTCATAGTTTGTTGGTGGCATTTTGTAAGGTGTTTATATATGTCAGCTAATTATAATTGGTTAATGATGTAATGACTTTCTACAGAGGCTAGAACCAGACGAATAGGTAATTACTCACTTGAATTATCAAAAAATATGGTGCCAAATGAATTCTGAAAAGTTGTCTTACGGTTTTGTATAAAACATAACTATCCATAGAAATGACGTTGATAATGAGCTGTCTCTTATACACATCTAGATGTGTATAAGAGACAGCCTCTGGGTGGCTTCTGACATCTGGTTGGTCAATTCATTTTTTGTCATTTTTTTTTTACAAACGCCATCATGTATGGAATTCCAGAGAAGGTATTGTGTTCTTGATTTCAGTGAATTTTTTTTTTCTGTTTTCAGTCATTGCTATACTGGAAGATGTTCTTCACTCCATTGTTGCAAGAATAAGGTATACTTATGGGATGGGTGTACTTGAGTTGTGGGTTTTACTGAGAGTATATGGTGCTCACTCACTGCGTTGTAAGATGTGTATAAGAGACAGGGTGTAATGAACAATTCTTATGACTTTTAAATGTATAAAACATTAAATGCTGTCTCTTATACACATCTAGATGTGTATAAGAGCAAAGGCCAAAGGTCATTGATAATATCAAATATTCGTAAAACGGACGTTTGCTGGGTGTTTACCCAAAATATTACAAATAATTCCTGAAAACCAGACTGAGACTACTTTGATGCTGTTGTTAGCATTGTTGAAGTACGTTGTTGCCAGCCAGAAGATGATAATGGTGGTACAATCATGGAGGAAAGAAAATTAGAAGGAGTTCTTTCGAGTTGGTCTCCTATCTATAATCTCTTTTAATCCCTTTAAGTCAAGAACTGGCCTATACCTACAGCACTGCGCTTATCAGCACACCCCGCGGTTTATCAGTGCTGCCAGGCTCTTTATGTACAGAGTGACGCACCGCCGTTTGCAGGGCAATTCTCCGACCTCTATCGACGAGTTTATATTCGTGTGGAGTAAATACACGAACAATATTTAAAATGTGACGTATGAATCATATATAGGCTCACTTACAGCCGTTTTCAAGGAATAACGTTACCGGCTTTTCTGAGGATTAATTTGATACCAAGAACGTCAAAATCGGTTAATAAGAAGTCATTTTTCATCCAAAAGTAAGTTTTGCGGTATTATAAAATGTTGTTTTATTGAAGTTTTTATTTTACTTATTTTGAATTATCCGCATATGTTCGCATATTGAGATTTAGTTATTTAAAAAGAGAAATATTTTTTCTTTCGATTAAGGCCATTTAGATGCCCGTGCACATTGTTGCATTTTCACGGCGCGAAGTTCTTTCTTGCCTGTTCCGAAAGCATTTGTTACCTAGCTAGGCCTAGGACAGGGGCCTAGGTTTGTTTACAGGTTAGATCAATTACGGCCTATAGGCCTAGGCCGTGTAGTATGTAGATCGTTAATAATAATCTGTACATTAATCATTAGGCATTAAAATATGATCGAGGTTTGTGTGTTTCTTTCCATTCAGTGCTTTTTTTGTATTGATTGTCCTTTTCTAGCCACCTAGGCTAGGCCTAACAGTAACATAATAACAGGTTAGCAGAAAATGGTTAAAAGACAAATTGCTCATTGTGTTCAGGGTCGTGGGTCATTGGTCTGTATTTGGACCTAATTACTATTGATTATAAAAGAACTTTTCTTATTTAGGGCCTGTGGACGTAGTATTCTAGTCCCGCTCTTATTGTGTTGCTAAGAGATGTTATTTTGCTGACCATAAATGCTTAAGATTTACAATGTTAATTATTATGTGTTTCTTTAATTTCTCTTTAAAATATAACTCCTTCTTTCTTACAGTAAACTCGTTTGTTGAACTTGGCCAAACTTTACTGGATTGCCCTAATGTTAAGTTTTTGCTGAGCGAGAAATTCAACCAAGATCCGCTGGAAAACTATTTCAGCAAACAGAGAGGGGCTGGTGGAAGATGTGAGAATCCAACTGTAGCACAGTTTGGGCACAATATGCATGCGCTATATGTTGCCTCAGACTGTGCGAAAGCTTCCAAGAGGGGCAATAGCCGAGTAATTGAAAAACAAATTAAACTAGATGACACCCCATTACCAAAAAGGAAGTGAATAAAGTACAGTACTGCATGTTGCATATTTGTAATCCATTACACAACTACTAGCAAAGAAGCCTAGGCCTAGCCTAGGCCATGGCCATGGAGGAAATGCATAGGCCGCCTAGGCTAAGTCTAGAGCCACCTAGGGTAACTTACCATTGACATTGCTGGTAATCGGCGTATCTTCAGTCAACATTCCTTCGTTATTCTCGCAATCTAGATGTATATTTTCACTCGCATCTTCCTCCTCAAAATCAAATTGTACATCTGGTAGATCATTCATGTCAAATTCTTCATCTAATAAGTCGTAATCATCACTCAAACTTGCTTCGCAATCGATCGTCGTAGCCATGTTTCAAAAACTATCAAAACACTGCGACGCGACAATCAAAACAAACTTGACATCATAATACATCTGAGCGTGCGCAAATAAGTCTTGGCCGACAGCTTTTAACTACGCATGTGCAAGCTGGTTATCGGTCATTACGTAACGTTGCGATAAAGTCGTAATTTCCTTAATTCTTATCAGAGCGGTGTGTCACTGTGTTTGTTTGATCTTAGCATAGAAGAAACTCCTTCTAATTTTCTTTCCTCCATGGTACAATACAACAAAGCTGGCTTAGATGCCTACGTTACGTAATCGTGTCCTTTTAATCCGAGCCGACTTTACCGTTAAGCAAGTTAATTTACCGTTATTCTAGTAAAGTTAGTTAAGTCACTTAACTTAAGTGACTTAATTCCTTTAACTAGCTATAATTGAGTGGTTCACGTCGAACTTTTAACTAGTTAAGTGGATGTATATCTAGATAAAAGTTCGACGTGAACCCAGCTAATGATTCCTAAATTTTATATGTTGAACAAAACTAGACGGGAAATGTCAACAAGTATGTAGAATGGCGGCCATTTTGAAAAATAAAAAATAAAAAATAAAAAAGGCCGCTTCCTCAATTAAAAAAAAAAGCCGGACGTGAAACATGTTTTTTTTTTTACTTGGCCTAATATTTTTATAATTTTTTAGGGGCGGATCCAGTAGGGGCACAGCCCGCTGTTTTGCCACTAGATTTTAAAAATTTCAATGCATATTAATGCTACGTGCTACTCACTTATCTATTCTGAACCTAACGTTGTTCCCCCAGGTTTGAAAAATTCCGGATCCGCCCCTGTTTTTGCATCCAAGTGGTTCTGTGTGGTGGCCTGTGGTCCCATGATCTGTGTGGTATTTAGTAGGACAATCGGGTCCATTTCTAGCCGATCGGGCCCTAAGAAAATCTCATCTAAAGACCATGGAAACCCCAGTCTCAAATGTTAGCTAATGCTTAGTAATCATTCTTTTTTTACTATTGTTTCTGTGTCTAATCTAGTATTCAAAACACTATTCTTCAAGTCCATATGAAAAGGTTAGGGCCTACCTTGGAGGATTTTACTTTGACTTTATCTTAAGTTCCCTTGACTGCAGAAGTCTTAAAGTTAAAGGTGTAATGAACAATTCTTATGACTTTTAAATGTATAAAACATTAAATGTATAAAACAAAGCGATTTCAGGGAGCAGATAAAGACAATCTGTATCTGTTGTTTGTAATGCGACTCATTGGGGAGGGGGACATGGTATATTGCTGAAGCTTTCCTATTAAATTTATCGCATCAAAATATTGTAATTATTATAATTAGTCCAAAATGAAAATTCATGTTACTTTGATGAGAGCAGATTAGCTCAGTTGCTAAACTGGTAATAGTCAATGTATGTGCGCTGAACCGTAGAAATTTATTTATTGTTTTGTTTTACTGGATTGCATTTTCAGTAGCATACAGTAGTACGCCTTTTCAAAATGGTCCAGTTACAAGGTACAGTAAATTAAAAGTAATTAAACTTAAAGCAAGGTAAACAAATTTAGTGGGCCCCAGGTGGACAGGATACCCTTTAATCTTTCACACTGGATATAATATGATACATTATATGTCCTACAGTCGATGTCAGAGACTCATTATGCTGTTATGTATCAACAAAACCCTTTGGTTGGGGTGATAGATCGAGGAGCATATTGGTTAGACCCCTTGCGGTCGGGGCCTTGCGGACCGCCTAATGAGAGCGCATAGGCATTGCGCCATTGCCCCATACAACGCATATTAATTTTCAATGTTCCGGGATTGATTTTTAACTGCTTCACTGTGAAAATTAGTACACAAAGTGCCTGCACTATCAAAAGAATAAATAATCATTGTTAATTTATATAATTAATGTGTACACATCTATGATAAACAACCAGATGTGGAATCAGGATTCAGTAAACAGGATAACCTGTTAAACCCTAATACTTTGTTAAATGCATTAGCCTTTTTCCAAAAGCAGTCAATTAATTACCTCCATCAAGGATGTTACATATTCACTGCCGTTGGTATGTTAGCTGGATTATGCTAAAACTAGTGAATGTATGTGTAATATTTAGTGGAGTTATATTTTTTGCATCTAGGGGAGAGTTTTTATTTATTTATGAATCAAGATTGCAGAAATTTTTAAAAATATATCTATGAAAGTATAGGTTTTACTAAACAAAATGATTATCTCAAAGTATATGTTTCACTGAGCAAAATGATTTTCTCAAAGTACAAGGTTCACTAAGTAAAATGATTTTCTTAAATAGAGAGCGAAACAGCCCAAAATGGAATGATACAAGGGCAAACAGATCTTCATCCGTCCTAAATACCTGGATGTTAAATGGCAAAGAACGTGGTTAATGTAGTGGCGTATCCAGGATTTTGAAAAGGGGGTTGCTGAATAGAAATATTACATCCACTGAACTTTACGGAAAGCGTAGAATAGGAATGTACTGTATTGTATCAATGGCTAAGACTACAGTACACCATAAATTGGTTGCTAAGGTCTTAAGTATTTATTTTTCATTAATTTATTATTATTTTGCAATGCCCAGGCTGGAATGTAATCATACTTCTTTGGTTTTTTCTAGTTATGATTAAAGATTCTCCATCGTCATGTATCAACTGGCAATCTTTCAATGAGTTCTTGCAAGAGGAGAATGAGTTGCAACAAGTCTCTCTCTTAAAGAAGGTACGGTGATTCCCTATCACATTGGCAGATTTAATTTTTGAAAATTAAAAAACAATTTGGAAAAAAGAAAATTGCATTTAAATTTCAACCTGAGAGTGCCATAACCAACTATCTAGACTAGAGTGTAATAGACATACAATTTATTACCTCAGCACCAACCATGTTGCATTGGGGCAACCCCTTACTTCTCTTTTATAAGATAGTGGAATCTAGTGTACATGAGCCAGATGTGTATGCTAGACATCCCATTTGGAATCTGTATCCAAGGCTTGGTTTTATCAACAGAATCCTGAAGAGCGGTTTGAACCAGCCAATGCTCAATGTTAAGGTTGTAGAGTGGTACCCCTGCCTCACTATGCAGCCACTCTGCTCGCCAGACCACTTGTACGAACCTCAGGCTCATTTAGTTAAAAAGACATTGAAATACTCGCCTAAAAGTTATTAAATAATAATAAATAAAACTTGGGTAATTCACTAAATTTGATTGTGAATGATCATAAATATGTTATCTAAATTATATTTTCAGTTTGGCTCTGGATTAAGAAAGCTGGTTTGTCCGGGATTTGAAGAATCGCACTTGGAAGATTTGATTGGCATTCTCGCAGACATTCATATTAATGCACAAGCTCGCTGTGTGCTTCGTAGGACCATTGTTAGGTACAGAAGGCTGGATCGAGGCAGTTCTTGTTTTTGGGGAATTTTCATATATAAAAATTGTTATCAAATTTTAGCAATACCATGAGAATTTTTTTTAGATTTATCTCTTTACTTAACGAATAGATGAATATCATGTCATCTGGTTTTAAGATCGCAGTGCTGGTGTCAGAACTTTCTTGTCAAGGAGTCTGAGGTCCCTGACAAGGTGGTCCAAAGTCCCTGACACGTGGTCAAATTTATTTGTTAGACATGTTCCTGGCCCAGTTCTGATTGGTCAGTTTTTAAGTTTGATTGACACTCCAGAAAGGTGCATAAAATATTATTGAATTTATCCTGTTTCAGTGTTCTTCAAAGCCTACCAGATACTTTGCATGGATGCATTATAAAGTCATTGCAGACTGCATTGACCAATCACATTGCCTCCTGTGACCAAAGTGACCAATCATCATGCAGAGTCAGGATAGATACTTTGCAGTCATTGATGGAGAACTTCAGTCTTGGAGAAGCCGCTCTGAAGGCAACTCTTCATCCAGGTAAAATTTTACAAGCAGTAGACTAATAATCCAAGAAAACTACTTAAGGAATAAAAGGTCTGTCCAGACTGTCAAATTTTATTTGACAACAACATGTGACATGCCTAAATTTAGTCATGATGACATCACATCATGACCATATATAGGCACATCATGACTATATACAGTTTTTGGTTTTGGAAATGATATAATATGGAGAGAGCTTTAAAATTAGGTGAATCACATGCAGTTCCTGATAATTTAGATACTGTAAGTCTCTCCAAGGAATATTCCTCTGGGTGGCTTCTGACATCTGGTTGGTCAATTCATTTTTTGTCTTTTTTTTTACAAACGCCATCATGTCTGGAATTCCAGAGAAGGTATTGTGTTCTTGATTTTAGTGAATTTTTTTTTCTGTTTTCAGTCATTGCTATACTGGAAGATGTTCTTCACTCCATTGTTGCAAGAATAAGGTATACTTATGGGATGAGTTGTACTTGAGTTGTGGGTTTTAGTGAGAGTATATGGTGGGCACTCACTACGTCATACAACAGTTGTATGAAAATCGTTCAATGAATCCAACTTCGCTCCCTGTGAGCGCTAGATGATGCGATGCTGTCTGCTGATTAACAGTGACAGTCTAAACCTATCATCGTTAAATACGATCTTTTGCATGTGTTGTGTCATTGCAGTCTTTATGGAATCGTGTCGGCCGACGACCGTTGGCGGCAGAGAGTGCCCGGCTTTAGTGAGTAGGTTGTCATTCAGTTATATTTTGCATCCTGTCAATCAAAATTTATGTTCACATTTTTTTATGCTTACCAGAGATAATACTGAAAAGACTGCTGTTGGACTGAGTGAAATGATGCATCATTGCCTAGCAATAGTGAAGACCACAAGAGTTTTAGTCCGTAAATGTTATTCAGAGTTACGTGATGAAGTAACCAACATTGACAGCAAGATGAGGAGCCGCATCCAAAACATAAGAAATGATGCCTGTCATATTTTAAAAGATGGTAATTAACCTATTTAATATATTTCATTATTTTGCTGTCATCATACACCAAACGTGTGCCTATTTTAAGTTGGTACAGTAATACAATGGTTCACATAACTATGCTTCATTATAAGAAGTGGGAAGTACAACATGACCTAGGTAAATTTTTAGATGAGTTTTGTTATGGGTAAGTTAAGAGCACGCTGAAGCACGTTGGTATGCATCGTAGTAAGGTTACGTCGTCAAAACATTTTGTGCATGCACAAAATTTGTTCAACGTATGCCAGCATATATGCACGTACGTCCCACATATGCGGGCCATAAGTTGTAGGTAAGTTATGTAATTGTTGACACACGTTGCTCATAATTCATAAGTTGAAATATGTCGAGATAATGTGTACCCAAAACATATTTCTTTAACCTATTAGTAACATGCATCGAACCTATGTAAATTTATATGGAACTTGCCTCCAATGTATAATGAGGTATGTAGGTGTATTTGACGGCCATCCAGCCCTGAAGTTTTCCACCCTATGTAAAGCCAATTTCATAGCCCTTCACCCACCATCTTTAACCACATGCCCATCTTTAAAATACACTCTTATTGTTTAGAATTTACCAACATTATCAACCAACTACTTTTAATTTTTCCACCACCTACCCTTTGATATCTTTTCTCAAGATGTATGTTATTTTATGATGTTCTTTTTTCAGGTCTATTTTTCGCCGATTGTCAAAATGCAGCCGGTATGATACTTATTCAAATCATGCTACTACTGGCTGATCAAAAGCTGCCCGCAAAAGAAATCGCTGATGAGCTTTGTATTGAGACACAAAAGTCAACAGTTATTATTGAGTTTCACTACCTTCCGCCACTGTCCAAGCTGTTTGTCTGCCAAGGTGTATTGGCAACTGTACCGAAAGATCAGTTGACAAGGCATCTTGTTGGTGATGTTTCTCTTTTGGAAATGATGTTTCAACAGATCTGGTGTCTAGTGAGTGTGTGAGTTTACCTCTAATAATAAATTTATTCATATAATTATATATTATGCAGCATTGCACTAAATTTAATGATCAACCATTCCTTATTTTTTACGTAATCTTGCTGGCAGATAGACAGGTGAATACATTTAACCTCCTTGGTGGAGGAAAAAATCAGATATACATTTGGATATCGGATTTGTGAAATGATTTTTTATCAACCTCAGATTAATGGAATCGTTCTCTGCTCTCTCTGTTGCCCGAGCATTTGCATTATGGACAACTTGTGCAATATCGTATGTGGAAACTGAAGTTGACGATCTCAACGCATTGAAAGCATTCACTGGTTACCAGGATATCCCACAAAAATTGTTAGAATATTCATGGACAAACTGGGATCATCCTATAGACGTAAGATTTTCTTTTTCACTTTTTATATACAGTACTAAGTCCTCTTCTCCCCTCCCCCAGGAGATTCAAGGGGATGGGGCAGTCAACCTGGGGCTCCTAAAAAATGATTTTTTTTTAAATTGGGGAAAGAAAATTAATTTAAATTGAACTCTATGAGTCTCATTTTCAGCCATCAAAAGTGCCATAATCATAAATTTTCTTACCTTAGCTTCAACTATGTTGGGCCTGAGAAAAGTCTGTGAAAGTCTTTTCCTGGGCCCCTTCTATTTCAAATTCCTGGATCCCCTACTAACCCCTTCTGCATGTACTCCTTATTTGTGATTCCTATCTCTGATCTTGTTACTACAGTACTTTGTTAATCTCTAGCTTTTCAGTTGTGTTTATATTTTTTTTTACAGTGCATGAGGCATCAAGTGAATAGTATTTTTGGAAACATTATAAAACTTCACCGAAAGTCAGCTGGATATAGTAAGTGATAAATCCATTTCATGAAGACTACAGAATCACATTATGATGCTAACAACATTGTAAACTATGATTATGATAATTAATAATTATGGTGATTATGATGAGGATGGTGATTTTAATGGTTGTGTTGGTGATTATGACGATGGTAGTTACGAAGATGATTTTGATGATGGTGGTTTTGATTAAGATAGTGTTAGTGAGAGTGATTTTTGATGAATGTGGTGGTGATAATGATTTTGATTATGGTGTTGGTGATTATGAGAATGGTGGTTGTGTTGGTGATGATGATGGTGATATTGATGATGATAATGGTGTTGGTGATTTTGATGGTGGTGGTGTTGACAGTGATGGTAGTTGGGATTAAGGTGATTATGTTGGTGCTTTGATTGTGATGTGGTGATGATGATGATTATTATTATCCAATATTACACTGTACTTGACAGAGAATACTAACTGTTGGATTCAATTTCAGGTGGGAATGCAGACTACAACGATGATGCCTTCATTTGCGATGTCTTACAAAAGATCCTTTCAAGTGACCACCATGTCCGTGGGAAATACTCATTCCTTGCCTGTATGGTAGACAACATCGGTGCAGAGTTAATTTTAAAACGGAATCCAACATTACCAACTGAACTTTACATCTGCATTATGGATCAAAATCTTTCACCTTGTGTAAGTCAGCATTCAGTGGTTTAGAGGTTAAGGTGTTTACCTTCTAATCTCAGAGTCCTGAGTTAATGCAACTTCTCTACAGAATGCTTCAATTGTATTGTATTTTTAGCGATAGAATTTTTAAACTGTGTCATTTGAGCTCAAGGGTCCTAAGTTGGAAGTCACTTCCATGAGATCTGGTTAAACAAGCTTTCTTAACGCTTCTAGTTTAATTTGCGGCACATAGTGATACCCATTGATGCTGACTTCCATTAGCTTGCTGCCTACTGGTCTCATGACCGGGTGTGCTCGTAGGGTCGCTGCACACATGAGCATCTGACCAGCTCCTTTCATGATTCTCGGTCACGGGCCACCATCTGATCCTCCGTGAAGGATTTCCAGTTCATTCAGTTATGTTTTCTGCCACTTTTTCCTCTATCTGCCTCTTCTTCTGCTGCCTGGGGTGGTAACTTTGTGGAGGCTTGTGGCGCAGCGTGTAAGGCATTGGACTTCCTGATTTCCAGGAAACTCATGAGTTACAGGAGAATGGGAACCCTTGTGAGTTAAAACACTTGACTGACAATCAATTTATAGATTTTTTTAAATCTAAATTTATTTGCAAAAAAATAAATTATTTTAACACATGTCTCACTGAAAGTTTTAACTACATACTAAATGAGTATTTATTTCAATATGATAATTTGATATTGAATGAGCAGTTAAATGTTTTTGTTTTATTTTAATTTATTAGTGCTTTATCGACTTTTCTTCACCACAAATCTTTAAGCTATACCATAAAGCTCATTGTATATATTACTATAAAAAATATTATACATGAGTTATTTATATATTTTATGCATGTTGACATCAGGTGGGCAATCTTGTTGATGTGATGGCTAAGGACCACTTAAAACAAATGATTGATAGCAGCAGTGATGATTGGCATTTCACCTGGATTGACAGCCTCCTGCATGCACTGCACACCTGTCCACCAATTCAACATAAATCATACATCATGCAGGTGAGTTCATTAATTCTGCCTTCCATAGACAGAAAGTGTTTAAGGGACCTGTAGTTTTCAACCTTAAATATTTTCTTTAAAATTATATAATAATTTATAAATTGGTATAAATTGTAGAGATGTTTAACTTCCTTCAGGCTGGCCAAAGGTTGTGCACTCTAAATAATCATGGCCTGCAATCACTAGTAAATGAACTTATGGATGATAAATTCCCAATTGGTGAGGTATGATTCTTTCTAAGTTTATGAAACAGAAACAGACCTTTATTGATTTTATTTTATTTTCAGGTGACACTTCCAAAACTTATGAAATGTAATCCTTCAAGTGTCCAGTACATTATTGAAACACTGCAGAGTAGTAAGTGGGAACACCTGGATGTCCAGGGCATAAAGTCCCCGGATGTTAAGTTATCAAAGCCTATGGTTCCCCAAATCATATCACCCCTGGATACCCAAGGCATGATGCCCCTGGATGTAAGAGAGACCGATCTTCTGAATGCTGAGAAAAAGAGACCCGAAAATGTTCAGGGCATGAGACCTCTTGATACTCAGGGCTCAAAACACATAAATGCTCAATCTTCAAAGCCCCTGGATATGCAGGGCAGCTGGCCCCTGGATGCTCAGGCCTCAAAGTCCCTGGATTATAAGGGTATGCGGCTCTGCATGCTCATGACGTGTTTAAAGACAGCTAGGGCCTCAAACATTACCATTACTGAGTTTGAAGATGATGAACAAGGTGACAAGATGTGGCATGGACTTGTTGGAAGAACAACGATCAGACAAGCTTTGTGTCACAAGAACAATCAGGTTATTTGTTATTCCATAATGTTTATCCACATTCAAAATTAACAATTTTTAAGACCATTTTTTTAGAGGGTGATCCTTCCAACATATCTTAGAAAGTTGGCTGATATTTTGCTCCCCTCTTAAATAAATGAAATAATGTGATCATCAGCCGAGACTCATGATGAGGCTCAGGGAGTGAGATTTTTTTAGTTGTGAGAAAAAATCCTGGGCTGTCACAGGATTTGAACCCAAGACCCTGGGGTTGGAAGGCAAGCATCTTTACCACCAAACTACATCTCCACTTCAATAGTGTAATACAATTTTAATAGCATACATTATATTCTGATAGCAGCCTGTCTGCATCATCTTTACATTTATTTAACAAGAAATGAAAATAATATAATTTGTTTAGGTTCGTCTAGATACGTTTGCTTTGATTTGCGATACAAAGAAAACTGCAGAAGTCTTGACTGATTGCGATTTTGATCTGATTAAATTCTTTCTACCGTACAACCTGAGCAGCCCCTTACCATCCTTTAGGCAGCAGTTGATGATGTTAATAAAAAAGGTAAATACCAGGATAAACATTACTGTTGAATTTATGTTTGTAGTATTGATAAATAACATTTAACTTGACGGTCTGTTTTGTGAATGCTTACCATGGTGAAAATTGCTTAAAATATGGCCCACTGCAATGGACTATTCAATTAATTACAAGGGAAGTGCCATGAAAAAAATTTTGTGTATAAATCCATATATTTAATAATCTGTCCTACAGTCCTGAACTTTCCAATATCTCCTTGAGTGAATTTTCTTGATGTAATGAGTTATGATGCTTTTGTATTTTCTCCTGTGACTGAGGGAATAATTTTACTTTGAGAAAAAATGTGGGACTGTGTTAAGCTCTGTCCAGATTATTAAGTTTTCTTTGACAGAAAACTGTTGTATGCCCATATATAGACATGACATGCCTATATATGGTCATGATGGGATGTCATCATGACCATATTTAGGTATGTCACATATGTTTGTCAAGTAAGATGTGATAGTCTGTACAGGGCTTGGAGCTTTGTCTACACTATCAAATTTTATGTGTAAAAAAAAATGTGATATGTCCATATATGGGTGTGATGACGTCTAATCACATATTATCAAATTGTATCAAAAAAAGTTGAACGTGTTCAACTCTTATGTTCCATCACATTTTACTTGACGCTTTTTTGATGAAATTTGATAGTGTAGACAAAGCTTTAGACTTTCACAGTGGCAACGTTATGAGGGCTGAAGCTAGGGCTTTGGGCTTCCAATTGAAAGATTGGTGGGTCATGTCAGAGACTGGTCTGACCTGTGTCCTTGTGCAAGTCGTTTTATTTAAATTTTGGGGCTCTATCTGTTCATGTGACATTTTTTTTTTTTCAGCTTCTAATAAGGCTACAAGACAGTGGCAGACTCCATTACAAGAACTCTAAGACAACAAACTGCCCCAGCCAATCAGAGGCAGCCAACAGGATACATGCATATAAGGTGAATGCATTAGCAAAATAAAATGTCAATGTCTTTATTCTTGTGTTGTCCTTATGCTCTGTCCAGATTCTCAAATTTTGTTTGACAAATAATGTTCCATACATAGTCATGAGGTGCCCATATATGGTGATGATGTGATGTCGTCATGACCATATTTAGGCATGTCACATTCTTTTGTCAAATAAAATTTGATAGTCTAGTCTAGATTGGTTTCATAGATTTGATTTATTAATTTATTCTGAGTAACCAAGTGCCTATTTAAAAATGTGAACAATTCTCCATCTTTCATTGTTTTCATTTGGCTGAACCCCTACTTTTTTAGAAGCCTCCCCCACTCCCCCCCCCCTTCTCTAATAGATCATAACACCTCTCGTTTTGCATTCAAAAATCATCAAAAGATGACAGGATTTACCATTTACATGCTGGAATGTTTCAAATCGAGTTGGCTTTGCCCTTTAACTCTGCAAAAGTTCTTCTTTTGAACCCCATCAAAGCACCTACTTGCCACAAGCCATCTGGCTCTCAGAAACCCCTTTCACCAGGAGTTCTGTTATATACCTGTACCCCGATCTACTGCTTTTTGTTAGAGAGTGTAAACTTGATTGAGCAATTTCAAAATCAATGTTAATGCTTTGTATTGCAGGGCTTTCTGGATTGGTTTGTTGAGCTGCTGTTTTCAGGATTACAGTCTGGTTCCTGTTACTCAACCAGGGTTTCATCACTCTCGGCTCTGTCAATTTTGAGCAAATTTCAGTCTGGTAGGTATATGTG